TCTTTGTCCTTATACATATAAATACAAACTTATCTCTTTAACATGTACATGCGTACACTAATATTATGTACACTAACATTATGTACATATCTACGTGATCATCCAATGTATCCATGTACACAAATATGTGTACACTAACATTATGTACATATCCACGTGGTCATCCAATTAAATTTTTTTAATGAGTGGCAATTTTGTAATAACTTCATCTTCTTCCTTTTAAGTTTTCTGTGTTTCCTGCAAATACAACTCACAGACACCAATGATTTTTATCATGTAATCTTCATTTTTTTTGAAGGATCAAATGTGAAAAATATAGAAACTTGGCTATTGTTGTTCCCAAGCTTTCACTCTGTCACAGAGAGGATCACCCACAAAGATTTCAGACAGCTATGACGATACACTCTCAATGTACACATATACACATGTACGCTTTCAATACACTCTCAATGTATACATATACACATGTTAACCATCTCGCTTGGGTAACGGTCAGTAAGAAATAAACGCTCTGGCAATAACTTCTTCATTTCCACCGCCGACGACTTCGCCATCACTGAATCAAATGAAAACAAAATCCATATTTTAGAAAATACACCTACAACAAATGACATTACCAACTGGAAAAAGCTAGTTACCATCGTCGATCTCTTTCCCACGCTTGCTCCTCCTCCTAGCCATCGCTTTTTTGGTCTCGACACCGAACGATATCATCGAAAAAAATCCTAGCAAAATTTTCCCTCTGTAATCGCCTCGGTAAACGTAATGGAGCAAAAGAGAGAAATGGAGAAGAAGATGGAAATTCTACTTTTTTCTTTTTAATAACCGGCGTCTTAATTTCAGGAGGGTCCAACTTGATTTTTGAATTTTGAAATAGAAACCAGAAAAACAAAAGCTTAACCAGAAAAGGGAAGTGGTTGTGTTTAGTTGAGGGCAACTTAGGTCATTTCACTCAAAAACTACCTCACCCACGACAACTGCCTTTTCTTGATAATAAAACTCAATAACTGCCTTAGAGTGATATAAACTCTATCTATATTATATAGTTGTAAATTTTAATTTTACAGGAGTAGTTTATTACTACTTTTTTCTTACAAGCAAAACGATATGATTGCAAAAGTAAATAAGAGTAGTTAAAATTACACTAACTAACCGGAAATAATACTATTTAATTATCTAGCAGATAATATTCAAAGTGACATAATAAAATTTTGGTTTTTGATTGACCTAGACTAAAAATTCTGAAATATGTTTAGCTAATAATTTATGGTTGATAATGTCAAGTCAAAAACCTCGTGAGGTGGGCTATTCAAACTTTACACCGTGTGGATTATTAGGAAAGAGTAATTGTACCGTGTGATATCCGGGAAGAACCACTTGGGATCTAATCTACCACTCGTTTTTGTTTAGAGAAATTTTGGACGGTCCAATATATATATGTTCTGATGTGATGATTTCTTAGACCTGTAATAATGAAGGAGGGGAAATGATGCACGTAAACCGTTGATTGGGTTGGTTTAGAATTAAATATCTTAGTTGTTAGGAATGTGGATTAGTTAGGGGGCGAACAATAATCTCTCTGCGCTTTTTATTGTTAATAACTTAATCTTTGCACTTAGTGAAAACAGCGATACGATATCGGAAAGCATTAATTAATGTACATGAACATGAAGTGAAATTTTTTTTAACTGCATGTATCAACTTTCGCGTCTTCGACTATATGAAGTTAATTATCTTTTTTCAGTTAGATTCGCTTAATTAATCGGGGGTGGGGGTCACCAAATTTAAATGAAGGATCTAGTTGACATATGATTCAGGTACATCTGAATTTGTAGATTGGACTTTTAGAAATAAGACGAATGGACCAATTAATGTGACAAAAAGGAGAACCCCGACCCGATCAAACGATAAATGTATTACTATTATATTTTCTTTTTAGAATTTAAAGAAAAAAGTTATAGATAATATAATAAAATATTATTACATAAAATGTAATAAAATTCTTGTTCTTGTAACTTAAAGTTTCAGCTACTTTATTTTCTTTTTCTTTTTGATTTTAATTGCAACTTTCTCATATTGTCTTTGTAAAAGTATCTCAAATTTTCATGTGTCTCTTTTCATGATCAGTTTAGGTTGCTAGTCAACTTTTTTTAAGTTAGTTCGTAAATGTTGTTAAGTTATTCACTTTATTATTTTGTGGAACTTTGAGTTCTGAAACTTTCATGTCTTAAATAAATTATTTTTTAAGGTTAAAAGGGTGGATAATCCACCAATAGATGCACCTCATCCTCTTAAACGAAATTCAAATGATGTGGGATGAGAATTTGGAGTATTATGTGATCCAAACAATCCAGGAAAAGTCAAATGCAAGTTGTGTGGAAATCAGTTCTCTGGTGGTGTCCGTCGAATGAAAGAACACATTTCTCATCACAAAGGGAATATCTTAACTTGCCATGTATCATCTAAAGC